AGAGATCATGTACTTATCAAATTGGAGGATGACATTTAGTCCTCCCACTAAAGCTAGGAGGAGGGATAGCTATCATACTGGATGATATAAAGTACAAGAAATTCTCAGGCTCTAGCTTGAGAACTGGGCCACATCTAACAAGATAAAATTGTAGTGTGGTATCTATCTATAAAGCCTTGATCTTGGGTTCAGAAAACTGACTTCACAAGTATAAGGTGGGGGGGGCAGGATGGGGGGGAGGTATGATTAGACAGCAGTTTGAAAAAGATCAGGGGGTTTTAAGTGGATTGCAAGCTCAATATGAATCAACAGAGTAATATGCAGCCAAAAAAGCTAATGCTATTTTGGGCTGCATCAAGAAGGGCAAAGTTTCCAAGAAAGGAGAGGATAGTCTTGCTGTAGTCTGCCCTAGTCAAACCAAATCGGGAGTATTGTGTTCAGTCAATAAACATTTATTAAACACCTTGTGCTGTGCTAGGTACTGTGCTAAACTCTGGGGCTACAAAAACAAACAAAAGGCAAAGGACAGACCCTGCCCTTAAGGAGCTTACAATCTAATGATTAGTTCTACGTATCTTAAGAATAAAGATAATCTCTCCTTGTGGTTACATCTTTGCTCCTAGGATACCCAGACTTCAAAGAAGTAGCCCCCTTCCCCTAATTTACTGTGGATTGTATTCTAACCTGTCTTTAAGATAGACTAAAATAACTCATATGTATGTACATGTGTCTCGAGCTCACCACCAACAAACATTAAACATTAACTACCAGCTATGTGCAAATCACTAAGATAGATACTGGGGATACAAAAACAAAAATGAAACATTCTCTACTGTCAAAAGGCTTATCAGAACTGATTGTCAGGCTAGAAAACGTGTTCATGGTGTTCTACCACCCAGGCAGGAGTTTCACCCAATTTAGGATCAGGGAGAAAAGGGGAGCTATTGAGAAAATATGGGGAACAAATAAACAACATATAATTTGATGCAGCCTGGAGGAGTTTCAGGGGCATATAGAAACGACTACAGAAATCTCCTTTTTAGTGAACTGTGTTTCAAACATTTATTTAATTTATGTCAGTTTGGAGCTCATTTCCCTTTAGAAACAATGTGATCAAAGGTTAGATTTCTATACCTTCTATACAAAAGCCTGTTCAACCTATAACTTAACTAAGAGACTGTGTGTCCAGTTAGATGGTGAACTAGACTCAGAATCACAGAGATTTGGGCTCAGTTATTGTTCCCGACACACACTGGCTCTTTTTAAAGCTAGTTTAAGTAAAATTTAAGTAAAATAGGACTTCCTCAATAGGAGTTAATTCTCTACACTGATGAAATCATAGATCTCACCACACCCATCTCCAACTAGAATCTAGTTTGACAGAAATGAACCAATATTTATAAGAATGTTTCTAAGGAAGCCTACTTTTAGAATTTTAAGTTGCAAGACATAAAAATGCATCTTATTCCAAGATTTGGAGTATTACCCTCCATTTACTGAATACCTACATGGATTAAATAGTGCTAGGGATGAGTAGAGATTACATCAAAGCTCCTGCCTATGGCTTACTAGAAAATAGTGGTTCTCAAACTTTTTCTTCTCAGGATCCGTTTGTACGCTTCAAAATATTGAGGATCCTCCCTCCCCACCCAAAGAAATTTTATGTGGATTATATCTATATATCTATCTACCTATACATCAATATTGATGATATTAGAAATTAAATCATTATGAAAAGCTTTGACCTCGAGGAAAGGGTCTGAGGGATACTTGGTGTCCCTGCACAACACTTTGAGAACCATTAGCTTAGAGAGTGTTTGTCCTGCATATAGGATGGGCTTCCTTATCTCAAAACTCAAGTCTTTAGCAGCAGATAGGTGTCTGCAGGAGGGAGTGGTGGCAACTGGTACTTGGGGTTTTGGACTCCAATAGGAAAGGGGTTTTTGGTATATAAGTGTTTGGCAGAAGCAGGAAATCCTGGGTAGAGTGGACAGTAAGATTGTCAGTGGTGGTGGCAGTAACATTAGTAGCTTTCTATAAACATTTCTAAAACTTCCAACAGTCTTATGAAATGTAGGCAGTGGAATCTCCATTTGAAAAGAGGAGAATGAAGCTCATAGAGTTTGAGTGATTTTTCGATAGTCACATAGTAAGTATTGACTCACAATTTGAACCTGGGTCTTTCCTGACTTCAAATCCAGTGATCTTTTCACTCCATCTCACAGCCTTTCAATAATGGGGCTTCAGTGAAAGTTTAAGGACATTGATGAGATATCCCTAATGGCAGTGGTAGCAGAGAGTGTTCCTATGGCCTAGGCCCATCAGTAAGTGAAGTCTTGAGTGGGGCAGTCATTGATATATAAGGGAATACAGTAAGCATAGATAAGTAGTGAGAAAAGACTTGAAAATGAATAGCAGCAACTGAAGAAATGTGTTTAAACAGAAAAGGCTTGTGGAAAAGAAATTTGGTAGGAGTTTGGACAGAGGGAGAAGACAAGTCACTGAATTTGGATAACTATGGAAACAGAAGTTCTGACACAGATCTGAAGGGTGAGCCTCAAGGGCTGAGCTTAAAGTAGTGAGCCAGCTGGCCTAGTGGTAGAGCCATATTTAAACTATTAACAACCAGAATCATAGTTTGCATCAAACAACTCCCCTCTCCCACCCAGCTAATAATATTCATCAGAATTACAGTCCCTGAATTGATCACAAGAGGTCACTCTTGCCTCATTAGCCTTTTAATGCATCATCTTTACCAAAAAATAAAAAGTTACAGATGAGAAATGGACAATCTGGCTATCGGCAAATAGCCTGATCCAGACTTATCCTAGGGAAAAAAATTCTAGGCCTGAGGGAGCCTGGAAGTATGAACTGTTAGAGAAAAAGGGACAGTGCCTCTGATGCCTTCAGAGCCTTTCCACATAGAAGGATTTGCCCATTTGATTTAGCTCCTGCTGGTACTGTCGATGCTCCTTCTCAAACAGCTGACTTAAGGCAGCCTGCCGAACCTGGGAGAGGAAGGGACAAAGTAAAGTGTGGAAATTTGCCTTCTGGCACCCATCCACCACCTCTGCCCTTGGCTAGCTCCCTAGTGCTTGGGTTTTATTTATTTTTTTTAAATTTGGACATAGGGGACAGGAGGTAGCTTAGGATAGGGAAGGTAGTATACACTTCACACATATGGACATGGAGCACAATACACCAAGCTAGGTGAATCCAGTATGGTACAGCAAGGGTTAAGAGACAGTAAGGAAATAGAAATTAAGGTCAACTTAAAGTACATTGAGTCTAGGGAGCTAGAGAAGCACTAAGGGAAAAAGATCAGATAATCAACCAATCAATGAACATTTAAGAGCCTACTATGCGACAGTCATTGTACTAGGCACTGGAGAATCTTTGGTTGTTAGTACATTTGGATAGCAAAACATGCAACACAGGCAGGATGCAATTGTTGAATACAAAGTTCTGGTATTTAGAATGACAAGGCCCTGGTGAAACGAGGACATGGTAAATGCAGCTAGTTGCTAGCAAGCAAAGTGGTTCAGGGTAGAGAACACGGATGGCCCTGGGAATCCTAATGGGCAAAGGGAATAGTGGGTTTGACCCACTCACAATTAGCAGCTGCTTATTGGCCAATGCCATCTCCTGCTCCATGATGTCTTTCATTCTCAGGATGGCATATGGGTTCCTCCTCTGGTTCATTGTTGCCTGCCATACGCACTGAACTACTGTATTTTTCCAGCTGTCCCAGGAGAATTTATGTGGATTTGAATTAGGAAGATAGAATACCATTAGGCATCCTTCTGACCTAGAATTTGTCTTATGTTTCCTAAATACTTAAGTAAGCTCAAGCGTAGGTACAATCTATATCTCTCTCTGGAACCTCTCATTGTGTTTTATTATACTACTGGGGCATAGATCTCAAAAGAAGTTCCCCCTTTCCGACCACTCCCATTTACATTCAGGGTATTACAGGAGACAGAAATAGAAGGAAGGGTGAAATTAGGTATTGTAGTCTAATCTGGGGGTCATTAGTGCACAGGTATGTATTTACATTTGTTACATGAAGTAAAGCTGATTCTTGCCTTTCTCTGAACCTTTGGGATAAATACCTTATAGTACTGAGGATAGAGAACACAGAGACCATACTGGTAGGTGGAAGTGCTGGGGGTGGAGGGCATGGGAAATTACCTGTTAACAGCCTTCTCAAATGCTACTATCCTCTTGTAACTCTGCAAGGAAAATGAATGTACCTGGTCAGCCCAGTTACCAAACCCCTCACCCTAGCATCCTATTTGTTAGTCTTGGCCTGAGAGGAACTTGGGGGATCTTTTCCCACCCACTCGCCCCATCAAAAATAGGGCAGGTAATAGCTAGCAATAAATCATTCAAAATATTTCAACACATAGAAAGCAACATCCCATTGTGGGGGGTGGGGAAGCTCCTTACAAAGCGATTTTTTGGTACTTCCCTAAGCTCATCCTGGGGAAACAGATCTGGGTAACCCCATCAAAGTTCTTTCAATCAAGTGTAATCCCTGCCATACCTCTTCTACCTTTATAACCTCGTCCAGGTACAGGGACACCCTCGGGTTGGCCATGGATCTTTTAGTAGGTTGAACAGACATTCTTGACTGTTGCTCTTCCTGTTTTGTCCTCTCACTGATCTCACTTACCCTGGTTACTAGGCAAGTCTCCAATTATGCCCTAGGCCCAGGCCCTGATTGGTCACCTGGCTTGTTGCCTGGGAGACCTGAAAGAGAATCCCAGTTCCTCAGCCTTCTAATAGGGACCCCACCACCACCTAGCAAGAGCCACAGGTCCAAATCCAGGGCTTCTCATGTTAGGCTACAGAGGCCGCTCCATAGCTATGATTTCAGGGGAATCAGTCCCATCATGCCCTCAATGGTGTACATACACACCCATACACCCTCTCACTTCCACCCCCACCTACTCCAGATAGGTAGGAGCAGAAATCAGTAAAGAAGAGTAATAATATGCTTATTTTTACAGCTGTTTTTATTAAATGACCGGTTTATAAAGTCAGACCAGTGCAGTGACTTATTGGGAGCATATGGAATTAGTGCCTATATCCCTGACAGTTTCCCTCAGTCACATCTTGTTCTATATAGTATGTGAAGAGAAGGGCAAGGCAGTGCACTAAACACAACACAAATCTCAGCAAGGCTTGGTTGAAGTACAACACCCTAGTTCTCTTCTGCCTTTTTCACTCCACAACTTTAAATGACACGTCTGTGGCCTAGAGTCCCCATCCGAGTGGGTGAGATAGGTGCCCCCTCCCCCACTCCCACTAATCTATTTAGGATAACACTGACTTTGGGAGAGGGCAAAAAATAACCATGATCGAAAACAAGTTGGGGTAAGGAGGAAATGACATGGAGAGAGGAAAAATATGTGCATTCAACTCCATAAAAAAGGACCAGAGGGATAAGCTAAGGAAGGATCTCCAGACACACATTTCAAGAATTCTGGGCATAATGCTATCAATGCTGTCCAGTGCTGCTGTGTCTCCTGCCCTGGAGAAATCCCTGGGTACAGATTGGATTCTCCTATTGGAGCCATGTTGGCTATGGCTATCCCCAAATTCAGTCAGAGGGTGCTCTCTAGTGTGTTGTAGTTATCTTTAAAACTCTTCAGCTCTAGGAAGTGCTTGGCTCTTTTACTCTTCTGGCTGGAGGGCAGATAGGTGACCTGGATGGTTGTTGGGGAGGAAACTTCAGGAGACTGTGTTAGATCCTTAGCTGCTGACTGGTGCTGCCGCTGGGAGCTCCCACCACGGGCTTTGACACTGAAGCAGCGAAAGAGAAAATAAGTTATGACCAATATAAGAGAAAAGAAAGATCACAGGTCAAGACTCATTGACTCTCAATATGAACCAATGATTTCCGCCACCACACACACACACACACACACACACACACACACACACACACACACACAACGGCTAAAATTCAACTTGATTTTGAGAAAAAGCATCTGGCAGGGGCATTCCAAAGGAGAGACAGCATTTACCTACAGAATATGGACAAAACGTAAGATAGTTTTGGGAAGGAGGGGGCTGGCAGCTTGGAGGCATCTAGAAAAGCTTCATATAGAAAGAAGGTGGTACTTGAGCTGAGTTTTGAAGGAAACCAGAAATTCTAAGAGGAGAAGAGAAGGAGAGCATTCTACCCATGGCAACAGCTAATTCGGCACACACTTGGGAAGTGTCACTGAGGAACCACAAGTCAAGTCTGGAGGGACCATAGAGTAAATGGAGGGGAGAGGAATGTGGAAAGGTAGAATGCTTGAGACCTTATGATTTAAAGGGGAAAGGAGTGGTTGGTTCTAAGCTGTTTTGTCTATATTCTGTAGGTAAATGCTGTGTCTCCTTTGGAATATAAGCTCTTTGGGGGCACTGTTCCACTTTTGTCTTTATATTGCCTTTCTAGTGCTTAGCTATGACCGGTACATAGTAAGCACTTAATTCATATTTATGGTCTGAGGGCCATAACAGATATCTTTAGGTCATCTAGATCCTTAACCATCCCCTTCATTTTACAGATATAGCCCAGGAAAAAGTGATTTGTCCAAGATAACACATATAGTAAACCCACATACCACTGAATCCAAATCCAGTTCTTTTTCCACTTATAATATCTGTCTGCAGAAAACACATTCAAGAGTCCCTTTGCTAGATACAGTTTACAGAAACAATACAAAAGAAAACTAGAAACAATAGGCTTAAGACAATGAATGTTATAGGCCTGCTGACTTCTACAAGACTTGCTGCTTAATTTCCATCAGATCTCGTCGTTTTATTTTTGTGACAGCTCTAAGTGTTCTTTTATATGCTTTTAAAGAACAAAACAATTCTTTTCAAGAGGCAAAGAAGAGAGAAGGTAGAAGACATACCAACCCTTTCTTTCCTTTAAGAAAGACCCAAATTAAATCTTTAGAAGGGAACAGAATGTATTTCTCTATATAGTTAACTCTACATTAGCAATGCTAATTAAAAATTTGAGAATAGTTTACCTTTACTACCCAGAATCTCTCATTTGAATGCTTGCACAAGCCTAACATAATGAAACTAAAACTAGGGTGTATGGGGGAAACAACATATTCCAAACCAGTCAAGAAGGAGCAACCAAACTTTGGGGTTCCTTTTTCTTAGTGTAATAAAAGCTTAACTACAATGTTTTTGCCTGTTGGGTCTAATGGGGTTGCTACTGTCAGATGAGACACTAAGGATAGCTACTACTTAAGTTGTTACTATTATAAGACTAAAAAGGACACAGCAATAATAGTAAGGGTCCTAGGGGATAAGGAATTCTACTGGACTAGATTCAAACAAAGGTTTGTGTGCCAGAGTTGAAGGAGTTTTTCCTTAGCTTGCAAAATAGCTTTCACTTTGAGATGGAAGGAAGAGAGGAGCAGTTTGGAGTAACAGAAAAACACTGATTTTGGAAATGGGAAGACCTAGGTTTGAATCTTAGCTCCAAGGTGCCTTCTAGTTCTAAGTTCTATGTAAAAATATATAAAAATGTAACCTGTACATAAAAATACAACTCTTGAGTTGCCTGGCATCACAGGCACTTTGCCTGCTTTATTTTCTGGTGATAGTCCCACCCTGGTGTCATTCCAGTACTGTTTAGTACTCCAGAAGGGAAAAAAAAAAAAGAAACCCACAACCAGCCCCACATTGAGACATTTCGAGAACACTCACGCGGCAGCCAGTTCACTCAGTGCTTCTTGGTAGTGTAGATATTCGGTCTGGCCAAAGACCTGAGGAGAAAAAAAAAGAGGGTGAGGATCTTTTGAGCTCTGTACTCTACCATTCCCACATGAAATAAAAAATTCATAAGCAGCAAAAAGATCAACTGACTTACACCAGTTCCATATCGAGCTGTTTCATAGCCATCTAGCAGGGTATCAATGAGAGCTTTGCGGACACCCTTGAAGGGGGTACTTGTGTTTCGAAGCTCCAGCAGATAGGAGCGGAAGTTCTTGCCCATTAGGGAACGAGGATGCCGGCCTTCTGAATAAAATGGGATCTCTGAAGAGGCAAGAACATGATGAAAATATTTTTCATGCATTTCCGGTCAAGAAATACCCTGCTAATAACTTCCAAGTAATCTTCATCAATTCTTCAAATTAGGGAGTTTTGGAGGGAGCAACAGAAACCAGACATCCAGTCCTCAACAACTGTTTGGAAATGGTAACAAATGGTGGATTATGTGGCCCTTTATTTATCTATTTCCTGCCCTTTTAGATTCTATGAGCATTTTTTAAAAGTGGGTATATATGGATAAACATGCTACAGCTTTGGCTCCATCTATTTCTCCCTATATCTGCTCTTCAGATCACCTTTTAGCTTGATTAGATATGGGGAATGCAAGACTTAGTCTCAGGGAAGACAAAATTCAAGTTGGGGCCTGAAACCTAATGCTTTTGGAATATCTGTTCTTTCTTTGTAACCCCTACTCCCCACCCTCTGGATTGTAAATTTCTGAACTCTAGGACAACGCCTTCTTTTGCAAAAGGATAGGTTCCAGGCTGGAACTGTCCAAACTTAGGAGATGCTTTTCCTAGGGACCATGTGCTTCTACTTCCAAAGAAGGCAGCTAAGATGATGGGTGAGCAGTATACCAAGAGTCAAGATACCCAGGGTTTACCACACATTAGCTAGCCTATGACCTTTATAAAGTCACTTCACATTTCTAAGTCCAAGTTTCCTTATCTGTAAAATAAGTGCCAAGACTAGATGTTTATTCTTCTCTAGCAATAACATTGTACAAATCCTTAAAAGTCATAGAATGTACAAGTTAAAAAATAATATTAACAACTAGCATTTAGATAGCTCTTTAAGTTTTGCAAAGAGGTTTACAAATATAACATTTGATCTTTACAACCAACCAAAGAGGTATGTTATTATTCCCATTTTACAGAAGAAACTAAGGCTGAGAGAGGTTAAGTGACTTGCTCAGGATTACAGTAAGTATTTGAGGGTGGATTTGAACGCAAGTTTTCCTGACACCAGGTCCACCACTCTATACATAGGGACATCTAACCAGCCCTTTCCTAACTTGAGCTGAAACAGAATAGGATCTTTCATGCCTTTTAAGAATTCAGCAATCTATTTCCCTGCTCCCATCCTTCCCATCCAAAAGCAAGGGAATCACTGGCAAAATATCTCCAAGGAGAACTCGTTTCCTTAAGAGAAGGAAACAGATTCTCTAGATTCAAGGGAGTTCCTAACACAGGTATGCCCAAGTGAGTAGAGGCTGAATTTATTCTTATCCCCATGATGTGGGTCATCAGTTTCTTCTCTATCTGGAGAATCAAAATTACTGAAGAGACTTTCCCATACCCGACTGACTCTTACCAGAGGCACGAATGGCATCCAATGCTTTCATCCTGTACAGGTAGTTATAGCAATCTGTAAGGATAATGACTGGAATCAGTAATACTACTCTCACCTCCCTTACACAACAACCCTTTCACTACTAAGCCTGCTTTCTCAGATTAGCTATACAGAAAATAACTAAAATTACGGTTTCTGAGCATCTCCATATTTCTCTCTCAGCTCTCAAGAAACTCTGAGCCCTTGGCTTTCCAAATTTACCCATCCCCAAGGTGGAAAACTCGCCCCATACGTTGATTTCCTGGTGTCTCCAGCTGCAAAAGTCTGGTATCATCCTCTTCAAGAAGCTGGGGTTCATATTTTACATCCTGGACCTTGGATAGTCGGATGTCAATCTCTTCCTTCAGATCCTATTCCCGTGGAGAGAAAAAAAGAGCTATCATCTTGGAATTGTATCCCCTCATAGTTTAGCTTATTCTCTACCTCTCACCAAATTGGAAATGCAGTAAATTCTGGGGATGGGCATAAACAACTGAGTCTGGAACAGTAAACAAATAAAAATCCTTTGACTACTGGTATGTGGCAGAAAAACACCCAGGAAGAAGTGGGACTAGGGTTCTCCAACACCCAGAGACTCAAACCCTCTGCAATCACTCAGCACTGGCATTCAGGCAATGAATCCCAGTGGGAGGAATCAGAAGACACTAACCGACAGTAACCAACAAGGGATCATCATTCCTAACATCTTGTTCTTTCCACAAACCCAAATTAAAGGACATAGATAGACCATAAGCAGATTAAAGATATACCCCAGAGATGAGAAAATCCTACCATTCCACTTAAACAAAGCTACTGATTATGAATTTCGGGAATTTCTAGAAACCCACCTTGGGAGCATTGTGCCCCACTGGAACGTGAGGGCCTCTTCGAGACTTCATAGCAAAACGCATGATCTGCCTCTTCACAAAAATGAACAGCAGCACAAATACCTGGCGGGAAAGACGGGCGAGACGCCGGCTGGAGGGGGGCTCCAGGAGATCCCGCTGATCCCCCGGCAGCTCTAGCTGCTGCTCCCCACCCCCCACCTCCAATTCGGGCGTCCAGGGAAGCCGACTTGGGCCCTCCCCCCGGGGGGGCGGGTCAGCAGGCTGGGGGAGCCAGCACGAGGTGAGCTGAGGGTGGGCGCGGAGCCAGGAGGGCGTGGTTGGCTGGCCTCGGGGCTGGCCCCGGGAGTGGGGGGAGGGGTTCGTCTCCTCACCAAGCTCCCGTAGGCCATCACCAGCACGACGTTCACCCCGGACAACCAGTTACTGCTGGACGCCATGGCCTTCTTCCAGCCTCGTTAGCTCGGGCTCCGTAGTAGCGATGGCCCTAGGGCTCCTTGGTGCTCCCTGGCCATTTCCTTATGGAGGAAGCCAAAGCCGGGCCCTGTTGGAAAACATGGCGGCCAGGGGGAGCGCGGGGAACTGGGGGGGGGGCGGAACTGAGGAGGGGAAGGGAAAGAGGGTGGAGAGAACCGTGACGAGTTCCTCCTCTCCCTTGGCACGTGACACCGGCAAGATAGAAGGAGAAAGCGCGTGCGAGGAAGACGGGACTGCGCGGTGGGGAGGAAAAGGTGGTGGTGGTCAGGTCACGTGACCGGAGGAGGTGGCCTCACGGATCCCCAGAAGGTGGCTCGTGGCAGGACGACGGGCGCGCGCCTCTTTGCGTGTCACGTGCTGAGGGAGGACGGAAGGAGAGTGGGAGGGGAAAGGCGCGAGAGCGAGCGCGAGAGGAAAAAGGGGGGGTGGAGAGAGAAGAGGGAGTCTATATCACGTGACAGGGGCGGCGCGGCCCGGGGTGTCAGTGTGGAGGAGACTGAGGTAAAGTTGGGAGCGCGGCGGCGGCGGCGGCGGCGGCGGCGGCGGTAGCGACAGCGCGGCGGGGCCGGGTATTGTCCGCGGCCCCTTTAAATCCGCGATTCCCCCCTTCACCCTTTCTCTCCTCCAGCCGTGGCCCCTTCTCCCAGCAGCCGCCCCCCCCCACCTCGCGCGGTGCGGGCATCCCCTCCCCCTTCCGCGCGCTGTGCCCCCCCTCCAGTCGCGCGGGCCCCAGGCTCCCCCACCTCCCCCACCTCCGCCACTCTGGGCCAGCCGCCGGGGTTTTGTTTATGGTCGGGCTTGCGGCCTACTGGGCCGCGCCGGAGCCGGGGCCTAGATTTGGGAGCGTGGCCGGGCGGGGCGCGGGGTGGCCGGGGGGGGCCATGCGGCTCGGGCCTGGGGGGGTGGAGAGAGCGCGAGGGAGCGAGCGCGGTCTGGGCCGGGCCTGAGGTAGGGCTCCCCCTTCCTCCTTTTTTATAACCCTGCGTCTAAGGAGAAGGTCGGGGCGGGGGGTGGGGGGAGGAGGCCGCGGTATTCTCTGTCTCCAGCCTTAGGACCTTCTCGGGGCCTCCCATCACCCGAGCTAGGACTCGGCCTGGGTTTGAGCAAGGAGAGATCAGGGGAGCGGTGGGACGAAGTTGTCCACGCCCGTAAGTTTATTTCCTTATGGGCTATTCAATTTGAGTGCAAAGAATTAATCTTTTGGGGAGAGGTGGGCGATTGGTCCTGCCGGCTCCCCTTGTATCTCTGGAACTGAATCCTCACTCGTCGGTCCTCCGCCCTGTTTTCTTCTCCACTCCTAGCCCCTTTGTCAACTGCTCTAGTTGTTCTTCTCACTTTATCTTCTCTTCTGGATTTTTGAAGGCATTTTAATTAATACCTTTAATCTCTTTGCCCAGTGGAGCCTTGGGTACTTTCAACAATCAAAAGCTTGTGGGGGAGCTTGACCTCACTGCTCCAAGCCCCTTGGGTATATTGCACTGGAGCACCGGCTGTCTTTATCACTGTGTTCTCAATTGAGTTCAAGAACTGTTCATTAGTCCGTATTATGTGCAAAGCATTTCCCATAACGGGGCACAAATTCCAAATTTATCGAATTCTTTCACATTGTGGAGAGTACCCTGATTGCCTTGTAAACTGATGCCATAACCAATTGCCTGAAACAGCCACCTCTTTGGTGGGATGTTAGGAAAAGAAAAAGACCACAGTAACAGGCAGTTTTTTGCCTTACTATGGCCTTGACTATTAGCTTCATAATGCTAGTGGGGGCTTTTTCCTTCTTGTATCCTGGCTTGGAAATAGTGAGGTGCTTGTGCTGGGATATATTCAGCCCCGATTGAAACTCTTCATTACTACAGTTGAATAGTTTAGGTGCCTGATTTTAAATGACCCAAACCTTTCAGTGGGGTTGGTTACTTCCACAGCAGACCGGAGTTCTATTTCTAATTAGCTGGGTTTTGTGGACTAGTAAAAAGGTTATAAAAACAAATTCTGTATTTTTAAAAGTGTACCAAGCATACCTTTATGGGGAGATATTTTGTCTTGTCAGAGTGGGATTGGATGTGGGGAGAACACATAGCCAGGTGGTCAACTTACTTTTAGAGCTATTTATGAATTATAGTTGGCATTAGAAGCAAAAAGATGTATCTGCCAGGCTCTTGTGTGGTCTTCTCTGAATGGTTGCACTTAGTTTAGTGCACTTGTAGCACTTATTTTATAATTGCATTTTGTATTTCCAATTAGATTGTAAGCTTGAGGGCAGGGACCACATCTCATTCTGCTTTTGTATACCCCCATGGTACTGCACATATAGGTATGCAAATAAATGCTTGTTGATCGATTGATTTCAGTAAAATATTTTTTAACCTCTCAATGGCTGTTTTTTAAGTTGTTGGTTTTTCAAAGAAGGTCTGATAGCTCCTTTTGAAATTGCACTCTACGTACTATCATGCTGTGTTCCTTTAAGCTTTGATAATTAATTTGAGATTTCTCCTCTTCCCTTCCCATCAGCACATCCTTATACTTTAAGGAAGGTAGTATGTAAGATGGTTCTCTTGTTCCCTGCCAACTGTGGATGTGTTTGCCTGCCCACTACTAGAAGGTACCAAGTCTGTGTTCCAAGTAATCCTTTAGATCAGTTGCTTCCTGCTGACCTTGCTCACTGTTTTGCAAGTTGTCTCAATTACATTTTACCAAGCATTTGTAAGAGAGATAAGGAAATTCAGTCACTAGTGATCAAAAGAGTGTCTTAAATAATATCTAGATCAGTAGTGTTTTTCCATTAAGTGTTCCAAACAGAATTAAGTCCAGACAATTGTGCAAATAGCTGTAGCTATGCAATATAATTGTGTAGCTAGCATATGGTCTCCTAACTCATCCTTTCAAATTGAAATCAAATGTGTGGTGGAAGGAAGTCAACATTTAGAAATTGTAGGTTGAGATGGGAAGTGCCAACTCATTAAATTAGAAACCCCAGAGTAGGCAATTTTAAAATATAACCAATATGAATACTTTTGTTCTTGTCTTGACATTGCTTTATCTCCCCTGCTGGTTTGGATGCAGTGGTGGTTAGCAAAATGATGTTTGTATTTTTGTAGATGAAATGTTAAAACTTGACTGTGATGCCAGCCTGGACAGATAGACTACTGTGTAGCATATAGCCTATTCTCCCTTGACATATTTGTATGTTTTTTTGTTGTTGTTAAAATTGGTGTCTGACTCTCCCTTAAAATGTTCCCTAAAGGCTTAACTACTTTTTGGAAATGGAAGAAAATGAAACTTTTGATGACATTGTAATAAACAAGGATGTATGTAACTATAGTGTCACAAATTTGTAAAGAACTTGTCCCAAATAAATTGTTTTTATTAGCAATTCAAAGAGAAGTATTTTTCTGTGGACTATTCAAGAAAATGAAAGAGGTGAAATATCAAAGCCTCCTTATCAAATTCAACATCCTATTTGTGGCCATATTATATCAATTACAAGGAGCCTGGAATTGACTAATGTAAATTTCCATTAGCCAAAAATTATGTGGGTCAGATTTTTCCAAACTTATTATAAAAGTGAGCACCTTTGAAAGAGAATAAAGTAGTGGTAAAATACCCTGCTTCTCCTTTTGCCTACCACTGGCAAAAGGAAGGTTTTGTTTTTGTTTTTTAAACTGAAAACAGCAGCTGAGGTTGCATATAAGCTGAAGGCATATGTGGTACTCCAGTTGTACTGTTTCTTGTTAGAGTAGTTAGAATTAAATCTATATTCAGGTTAAGGTGAACTTCCCATATACTATTCTGTAACTGCTATCAGTGCAGTCATGAGATGACTTTACAAAGTGTCCTTCCCCTTACAAGTAAGACATTGTGTTGGGTGCTTTGGCTAATTCTGCAGTTCTGGGATGTTTGGCTTCAGAAGATCCGTGGAAGATAATGATGGCAGTTGTGAACCCTAAGTGTTTGGAGTTTGTTGACCAGCAGGTTAGGTGGAGAAGCCACTGCAAAGACAAGGAACAAGGATTGCTAGGGGAACTGAGATTCCAGGCAGAGTCATTGGAGTTAATATGTCTCTTTTGGAAGGCTCTAGTTTTAAAAAGAAAAAAGGCCTCCACATTATGTGTACAAATAAAAATTTAAAGGAGGTGAGAGTATTGGAGAGACAGCCTGGATTTCAGAGGTAGAGGTTATGGATTTTTTTAGGTAGGAGTACTTTGAACTGATTTTCTTACTGCGAGTATGGGTTAGTGATCCCCTTCATAGAAAACCTACTTGTACCTTTTAATAATTCTATAATGTAAAGGTAATTGAGCACTCTTCTCTGTTTCAAGGGGTTTTGAGTCTTGGGGGCGGGGTGTGTGTGTGTGTGTGTGTGTGTGTTAATTAGCTTGTTGTATAGACTTACAGATAGCCACACTTGCTACGGACTAGTAGAACTGGAATGAGCTGGTAACTTTTTTGTACTTTTTACGTGGCTGCCCATCATCAAGCCAATAATAAATACACACTGCTATATAAGACGGTTAAAAACTATGGCCTTAAGAAGCTTATAAATCTAAATATGATGTTTCCCTAAAAGCAGATGCATTCTCTTGGTTTGCTGTGCCTAGAGAAGAATAATTTTTTAAAAAATTTTTAAAGGGGAGTGAGAAGGACAGTGAATGGTAAATATATTTTGACCACATTTGATCTCTAATAAGAAATTTTTTTTAAATCTTTCAGCATTCTACCTTGTAAATACTGTTATTTGTATATACTGTAAATGATGACATCAGTGGGCACTAACCGAGCCCGGGGAAACTGGGAGCAGACACAGACACAGAACCAGACACAGCACAAGCAGAGGCCACAGGTAAAGAAATTTGAAGGAAAGTAGAGTTTGGGCAACCCAAGTGGCTGATAAAGCTTTACATCAAGCACAGCTTCATTCTGTGATTTGAGTTTTCTTTCTATATTCTGTTTTTCAAGATTAGATCTTAGTTCTCTTATTCTCCCTGGATGCTTTCTTTGTGCTGTTACAAAAACTGCCTTTTTTTTCTTTTGCTGTTTCATGTTGTTGTGTGAGGCTTTGAGAAAAGGGATTATGTGACTTTTGTTTTTGAGACCCCCTATGGCTGCAATTTGGTAATAGTACTTTTTTTCCTTTTCTGGCCCTCTGGTATAGTATCTTACTAATTTCTTAGATTTTTCACCTTTGACTTCACTCTTTAGCTTATGTGTGGTTAGCCATTTCCCTGCTTCTGGGTCTGATCTTTTCTTTC